ATACATTCGTCGTTTCACTCAGAATCTAAAAGAAAAGAACAATGCAACGGATAACCACCAAAACTGGGGTTGAACTTCAGACCCCTTTTTGAATCCCTGTTTGAGAACCTCCGGGGCAAGACCTCTTATTTACCTTTTTTTGTGACAAAATGTAGCCAGCTACCTTCTTCCCCCAAGAACAAGGTTTAATCTATCTCTGTATCAAATTTTATCGCAATCGGATGAACAGGGTTTAGGAATGTATATAAAGGTCACAGGTACAAACATTGTTTATCTTTTATATATATATATCGATGAATATACATTTACAACTTAATTAGATTTATAGATTTTATAACACGAAAATAAAATAATGTTTTTATAATATGTATTTATTTTAAGATACGTAGGTAGGTATACTTTTAAAGTTAAAACGAAAACTCTTCTTACACTTATCTGGACGTATGGTCTACATATCTGGGGAGCACCGATAAAATCAAACTTAAAACAAAATTCAAGCTTCTTATAATATTGCATTCTGGGGAATATCCAATATACCATAGTGTATGCTACTCCAAGCACATTTCATAATGATTTTGTTATGAAAACTATTGATGAACAAGCACACATCTTCTATATGTGCTGCAGAAGTGACTTCAAAATAATTCAATAACCCTTCGCTTAAGTTATCTTTCAATTTTAATACTGCTGGAAAATCCTCGACAATTACTTAAAAAGAAGTGGTGTCGTGACCATTGGCTAGTCTAATTATATTAACTTTAAAACGACAAAAGTTTTAGCACTAATTGACGCATTTAAGGAAATACAACCAGAAAAAAAAATTTAATTAAGTGTCAGTAATGGGTGACCCCTACAATTCCTTCAAGTCTATACCATGTTTTTAACTCATAAACTTAATATTATTGTGCATTTCATTATATTATGGATTACTTATTAAAAAATAATACAAAATACAACAATTTTAAAACAGCAGCTAATATTATTGAATTAACCTATTTTGAATGATACAACTGTTTCTGTAAGGCTGTATATACTGTATAAATATATTACTGAATATTGAATAAGCTCTATAATCTTATATTTATAATCGTCTAATAAGAGATTATGTTAATATCAAGGTTCATATTATTATCATCATCTACAGTTTTAAGCTCTTGTCATTGAACCACGTAAAACCGTGTACAGACCTTTCAGAATTTTGTTTTGTTATTCATAAAAAAATTGATGTCTAAAGGGTGTATTTAACAAGTAAGGGTAAATTCTATTCATACTGCCATCACAAGTGTCAGCATTAAAACGTTAAGAATTACGACATACCACGTACAATATGACATATATTATTCTTTGAAGTATTATTTCTATTATGTTTTTGGTGGGTCTTAGTGTTTTCCCATAAGCTAACATTGACAAACTTCGAAGGTCCTCTGTGTTTGTGAATAAATATTATTATTATTATTATTATTATTAAAACTCAACAGAGTAAAACCGATTTAAAAATTATTTATGATAAAAATTATTTACAAAGAAGAGAAAATATATTGACTTAAAGGGTGAGTAAATAGAAGTACAAATATAGACTATTATTTAATGTTATATATTTTTAGAAAATAACATATATTATTAATTGTAAATAATGCGACTGATATTTCGATTTGAAATTAGTTTCATAAATAAAATCAAAAATATAATATAATATAATATAATATAATATATATATAGTAAAGGTACTTATTCTTTCTTAAGTAGAAAATAATATTAACATAATAAAATATATATTACTAGCAGACCCGGCGAACTCCGTTTCGCCACCAGATTCGTTTTATGTTTTTTTTCGTTTGGTGATTAAAATATAAAGAAAAAAATTTTTTTTGTTATATATTTGAAAAGGAAAATATTTATTTCATTTCACAACAGTAATAAATTCATTTCAATTACCTACTAAAATGAAGTGTTATTTAATTGTTTCATTGTAGTGCTCTTTGGTAAACCACATTTTTTGTTTTTTGGTTTGACGTTAACACAAACAAAGCGGATGGTTTCCCAACTCGTGAACACGCAACGTATAACTGTCCATGTGAAAAACAATGATTTTCCAAATTTATCCCGCAAACACTAAGTGATTGGCCTTGCGACTTATTAATTGTCATTGCGAACGCAAGGCGAACTGGGAATTGCAATCGTTTGAAGTCAAACGGAAGATCAGTCGGAATCATTGGTATTCGAGGAATACATACATTTTCACCTGCGTACTTTCCGTTAATAATGGTTGCCTCAATTAAATTCGGCATAAGTCTCTTTACCGAAAGTCGAGTACCGTTGCAAAGTCGCGGTGGATTCAAATTACGCAGTATCAAAATAACTGTACCAACTTTCAGTTGCAAGTTATGTGGTGGAAATCCTGGTATCTCCAGAGAGTTCAAAAACTCCGTTGGATAATTTACTACATCATCGGGATTTGTTATTGAATCAACGGATTTGTATGTCACCAAATCGCCAGCAATTTTTGATTGAATGGTGAAATTCAGTGCGTGGACATCATTATTCTTTGCTGCAAGAATTGCTCGTTGACTTAACCAAGCATAATTCTTATAATTCTCACTAATGTTTGGGAAAACATTTTCAATAAGAACTAATTGAGTGTCTACAAATCGGCAAAAGTCGTTGGTAAGAGTAATTAATCCAGATGTCGCATCAACTGGGACTTTTCCATTTCCAAGATCTAACAATTGTTTGGAAAATTGTGCAGCACTTTGATCATTTTGAAGTTGAACTCTCATATTAGTGGTTAGCGATAATGTTTTTACGTTATTCCATAAAGGTGATGCCTTTAGGCAAGCATTCAATTCATCTGCAGGCGTTCCACGGGGAACTACTGGCAACGTCTGCCTGAAATCGCCTGCCAACAATATCATCAAGCCGCCAAAGATGTTGTTATTTCTCCGAAGATCCTTCAGTGTGAAGTTAAGTGCTTCAAGTGATTTCTTATGTGCCATTGTGCACTCATCCCAAACAATGAGCTTGCATTGCATTAACAATTTTCCCATTGCACTGGATCGGGAAATATTGCACGTTGGAGTATCAACTGTGTTTAAATTGAGTGGCAACTTAAGCGCTCCCTGTTGTGCTCCCTGTATATTGCACCGCACGTTCAGCTGATCCACCATCGACGAAATGAAATATATTTGCAGAAATTGATGCGGTTCATCTGGTGTGGTTGGCACCATTGAACCATGCAAATGATATATTTGACCTTGTATCCGTAATTGCAAATAATCATTAAAATTTGTTCATGAATACCTTTTAAATCGTGTGTTTGTGTAGTGTGTGGTGTATATGAAGTTGTTATGTGTTGCAATTATGTGTTGGTTATGTGTGTTGTATCTTTTACCTTGCAAGTCGGCATGAAGCCGCCTTCTCGAATGATATTAGCTCCAAAGGAAGTCATGCGAAAGCAGTTATTGTATTCAAGGATGTGTTGAAGAAAATGGCTGGAATCGGGATCACTTCCATCAAACAATGTTTTCAGTGGATGTGGTGGTGTAAGTAATGGATCCAGTTTGACTTTTCCACTTGCGCAGCACAATCCAACCGTTTCTCTTTTGAACTTTAACGCATTGCAATATCGGCATATAGTCGTCATTCGTCCAATATCAAAATTTTCATCATCACTGTAGTTCGCAGTGGGATCATATTGGAATGCCAAGCGATTGTATGATGCCAATGATCTTCGTGTGCTCACGCGATGTCTCAATCGATCATTTTCTCTTATTATATTTTGTCTTTCTTCTCTTAAGTTCCTTGAATATACTTGTTACTGGCTTGCATGTCTTGTGCGGCGGCCGATGTTCGCACGTCGTTCTCTAGGCATTTTGGACTATGGACAGAGTGTTGAATTTAACTTCAAATGCACGATCCACATAATTTACATAATTTATTTTAGCTTAAATGAAATTAACTGAGCAGAGAATAATGTAAACAACTATCCGTCAACTATATAATAAACAACTATCCGTCAAACACTTTATCACGCACCGTTGCTATTGGTTTGAAGTACATGCTATGTATAATAGATGGCGCTGTATGTGAAAAACGATTTCCCCACTTTTCTGTTGAATTTTTCCTGAATTTTCCAGAATTTTCTTTGCTATAAACCTCACGGAGCCCAAGACCTTTCCAACGAATGCAAAACCGTGGAAATCGGTTCGTGCGTTCTCGAGTTATAGCGTCAGGGAGGAAAACCGGACTTATTTTTATATAATAGATTTCTTGATAAAATATAAATGTTGTTTTTTTCCATACTGCACATAATAGTTTGTCTGCTTATATAAATCACTGCGTCGTAAAATCGAACCCACGCGTTCACATCAAGGATATAGTAATAATATACACCTAATATATATAACGTGCAGTGTATTCGTTGTAGAAAGAAATTATAAATCTGAATAACTGAATGTTTGAAAGAAACCATACTTATTATAAGAACCGGAAGTGCATTTAAATCAAATAAAGGAGTCATGTAATATACTATTATAAAATATAAATATAGCCACATAGAGAGCCAGGGGGGTTGTGCACTTGTGCGCAATAAAACGAATGAGAGATATATAGAATAGGGTTTAAAGGTAATAGGATTGATTAACATTTAACATATTATATAATATGTATATAAGTAAAATTCATAATGTAAATAGTAAAGACAAGAGTTTCATATTTTGCACTATTAACAAGTGCCCCCTTCTCATATAAGGAGGGCCTGAAGTCTAAAAATACTATTTTTTTTTGTTTTTGTTTTTGCAGATCTATAACGGAAAGAATAGGATTGTACTATGATTGAAAATTTCTTTTAAAAAATAAATTTACAACAATTTACAACAATAACAATTCCATATAATATAATAAGTAATAACTAATAACATATTAGGCAACGATAACAATAACTGTCAACTTGAATTTGGTCGACGGGTAGGGGTCGTTACGCGATTCTGCAGCGCTCATATCGCTCAAAACTGTTGACGTCCACCACGACGGTGATGGTGACGAGGGTGGTGTTTGTGGTGGTGATGGACTTGCGGGTGATGAGCGTGGTTCTCGTAGTGTACATGTGCGTTGAACCCGTTGTGCTTGTCGGCCGTGTACGTTACTTTTCGGATACGACCGTCTGGCTCGACCAGGCTATAGCCACCGTGCACTACGTCCCCGTCCCGTTCCTCCCACTGGTGTTTGTCGTCCTTTGTGTGCGGGTCTTTGACGCCGTATTTGAACGTGTACTTGGGTGGAGCCTGCAAAAACGACGAGATGCGATTAGAAATAAATGTGTATATAATATGAAAGTGGTGTAGCGAAAAAACTTTAAGGAAGTCGACGGAAGTATTCACCACCCCCTTAAATAGCAAACTGATTTCCACGTCTCCACCCCCTTGCAAAAATTATAAATACACCACCACAACAGGTGTCATTTGCAGGCCAATTGCAAACATTTTTTTTTGACATTCTGTTACTATATATACCATCATTGTCGATGGTCCATTCCCCAACGATCATATATTTTGTACACCTGCTCTAGCTTCAAATGCTTGTTAACAAATGTGACGAAAGCCTGTTTAAAACGTACCCAGGGAATCTACGTTTCAGTGTTGTACTTTTGCAAAGCCCGAGGCACCAGAGTGTATTGATATTATATAGAATACAGATATATAATACATAAACTACCAAGGTATATAATATTATAATGACGTATATAACTGATATGTTAGAAAACCATTACCAATTGAATAAAAACCCAGGAGGAATACAATAGAATATATTTCCGATAATATTATTATTTTAAATGTTATCAGATTACTTTATAATTAGCATAACAATATTATCGTTCTCCGAGTACTCTGAAATAAGAACCAACCTCAGTTGTATATACAATGTTATACGTACGTAATAGTCGTGTCCGTGGTGTTGGGTGTGATGGAATATCGGATGGTAATAGGCGTACGATGTGGCATCATGGGCCACCGTCAATGTCGTCAGCGCGCTCAGGGCGATCACAACGATCTAGACAATTGACGGCAAATCAAACCTTTTTCTATTGAAATTCGCACGCTTTCGCGGAGATGCGATGAAAATTATGTTTCGTGCATTTCGCGTGGCCTGTCCGTAACGGAAAACACTGCCGGCAATCGAAATGCCCGAGACATAATATATTTTCAACCGAATCCACGTGATATATAATAGAATAATACATATATAATGGGTTTTTTTTTAAACAGTTCATATTATAGTAATTTATTTCAGAATCGTATAATATTATTATACTGATATTTATGACAATTTCAATGGAAAATATATTTTACTCCTTATGCACAGTCAACTGAATTTACACGAGTGCGCGTTGTATAGGTAATAAATTAATAACAAAACTTCGAATGAAATTGATCATTAATTGAAATTATGTTTATGAAATGTATATTTAAATTTGGTAAAAACTTCATGTGACACGTCTTTATGAGTCTATTATATTGATAACATTTGTTATTCTCACTTTCATCCAAAAATAATTTATTCTTTTGCCACAGTAAATTTATAAAAAAGAGAAAAATAAAAACGTTTTACTTTCCAGTAGATAGTAAATATATTTGTACAGTGTGGTACTATTAGAGTCAATAACTGTGGAACAGTTGTCAGTTTATAAAAATGAATATATCAATAAATAATAATAATATAGAGTTGAAGTTAAAAATTGCAACTTTATAACATAACCGTTATTACATTTAAAATAAATATTATGTTATTTACTTACCTGTAACAAACAAGCCATCGAGAATGAGTTCTCACTGTTCTTATACCAAACTGATTGAGATGTATTGATTGGAATAATTATTGCTGTTTATTCATCAAACACACAAACACAACTGATACTATTGGGCTGAAATAATTAGTATTTATAGCTTATGGATTTATGCAAGTACCTATGCAACGGCTAACACCACCCAAGAGTTAAATTGTGTCGAAATAGCCGATTACCCGATATACGTTTTATAGGGCAGTAATTTTGTATTGGTTCTGCGGTGGGTGCATTTACGGTTCATCAGTTAACTCAAAAAAAAAAAAAATGGATTATAATTAGGAACATATTTTAGTAAGGCCGTTAGTGGTTATTTATTTTGTATTTAACATTCGCGTATGAATGGTAAAAACGACCATGTTTACATATTATGCAATATTATTAACATATAATGACGTATAAAGTAAAGGTAGGAAAACATTACAGACAGAAAAAATTGAAAAAGAAAATCAAATGTTATAATAATTGTTGATACAAATGTTTGAAATATTAATAACATTGTAACAGATAATAAAAAGTAATGTACTTCATTAATCATCAACATTATTGTACTTCTTCTTAATTTAACTCATAACACGACTAATAGTCACGTACTCCCGTATCTTGTTTACATAATGCTGTCCGTTTTCATTCTGTCTTTTTAATAATATGACAAAATAATCATAAATTCATGATATCATAATATATTTTATTCAGATATAACAATTATTTTGTCAGAAATGAACGGTCTCCTCACTCCTGACTCCTCTTCACGCGATTCATACTTTTCTATGTTATCCTTATTACTTATTGTTTTTATTTTGTAAACAGATTGAATACTTATATTTAAATTTAAAAAAAACAATTATTTATTAAAATACACAGACCCAATAAAAAAAAATTAAAAAATAATATCAATTACAATTTATAGTTTTGTATTAAACCTTTAAAGGAAAAATTCTTATTTTCATAATACAATAATTACATTGTTTAATAACTGTATGTCATTTGTGTATTGTGTACCTATACTATAAACTATAGGTTCATTATATAGGTAAAAACTAAAATGTTACTAATTACTATAATAACACATAATCCCTATATTTTATTTTAGAGCCTAACTATTCATAGTGACTTCATCTAGAGTTTCACAACAACTATAAATGCTTTTTTTTTAATTCCCATAATAAGATATTATGATTAAAAAAAATAATTTATACATATCCAAATCCAACAGAATCTTTGATAAATTATTATGCAAACTTGAATTACTAAAATAACTGTTTGGATTTTTAAGTCCAAGTGGAAGAAATAATTTGAGACATAAAATTGCCCATGTTTTATCATACTTAATAATATTAATTGGAAAATTTGTATTTCATTAGAATTCGATTTCTTTGCAGCACCCCATAAATCATAATTGGACGACTTAAGACCATGCAATTGACTTTAGAAGAATTTTATATAGTAGGTGTTTACTTTTTAGGTTAAGTTTGGGGTGCAATCCTAAAAGAGGTTAAAGAGAATTATATCTGGGATTTACCAATGTATTTTTCGTTTATTATATTCCGCTCAAGATAGACTTTGGATAATGGAGTAAACTCACTAAAGTAAAAAAAAATTATATGAAAAAGGCAAAATATATTATATTATTGTATTCATTGGCAATTGCATTAAAAATGCAAACATATTTAAATAGATTAATTAGAATAATTATTTGAAATAGATTGATACCTAGACTAATTATTCGAAATAAGTTTAAAATATAAAAACTAAGATAATAGGTGATATAGGTACAAAAAAACATAAAAATTATGTAGTTTTAGGTAAACATTAAATAAATAAAATAGATTATAAGATTATAAAAAAGTTAAATACCTACAACATAAAAAAGTTGCTCTGCTGTACAGTAAGTTCCAAGTGGGTCGCTGTAATGGATGGTGTTAAATTTGAATTCAATGATATAATATTATTATATAAGAAAAACGATTCTGAATGAAAACGGTCATTCAGCCTATGATATTACTAAGTATATTTGATGATATTATTGTGAATAAAGTAATTTATATATTAACCTATTTACGTGGACCCTCGTTTTAAATTTTCAATCCTTAGCAATAAAAGTTAACATTTTATCAATTTTTAACTAAAAATAATTATTAAATTTTAAATTTGATAATTTTTGGTCAAAATTCGAACTTTAAATGCCTATAAAAAAAAATTGTGCCTATGTATTATTAAAATTTTTCAATTGCTATTGTTACAATATATCAGGAGCCTTGTATTCAATTTTCACACTTTTTAACAGAACAAATAAAATTTTATTGATATTTATAGGAAAAAAAACTAAACAATTGAAAACTGACTATTTCCTTAAACAGCTCAAAAAGAGTCAAAGTATTTTCAAATTTTTATAGTGTATAGAAAATGAAAATATAAACAGTCAGTAAAATTTTCATGTATCTACAGATATTCGTTTTTGAATAATTATAAAATAACAAAACCGCTACATGAGAAATCGAGTGAAAATCCAATATTATAAAATTATGAACTTCGAACGCTCATAAAAATTAAATTTGATTTGCTTGTAGACATTATTTTTTTGATAAAGGTAGATAACCTTATGAGTAATCTTCTATTACATTTTCAAATCTTAGATTTAAAGAGAATAATTTTGATGAATTCTAAACTCAAAAAAATTTGCTAATTTTCGTGATTTTTCCGTATTTGTCAAGATTTGAACTTTAAATGCTTATAAAAAAAAAATTGTGACTAAGGATTTTTAATAATTTTCAACTGCTATTGTAACAATATAGTAGGAATTACTTTTTATGTTGTTTTTCCCGTCGCTTTGTAAAACTATTGGAAATTTCAACATCGAACAAGATACTGAAGTTGAAAATCTAAGCATTATTTCGACTACTAAACGTGCACATGGGCACAGAAATAAAAAATGAAAAATAAAAACACACGTCATTGTAAAATCAATGCATTCATCGTTAAACTCAGAATCTAAAATATTAAGTAGAAAATGATTATTAAATACGAAAGAACTTAAATTATATCACGTATGTTCCAGGGTGCTGCAGGGCCGCTCAAATGTATGTATATAAGCTTCGGGACCCGTGTGTAAGAAAAATTATTATACTATTGTTAGGTACCTATTTCTCTCAAATCTATATACATACGTTTTAAGTAAAACGCTTTTGTTTATGTATATGACGTGAGTAGATAATGATCTAAGACGCGCAAACATCACTCGCGTTTATGCGCCAAATACGCCCAATCTTCGCCAAGTAGGTAGACTGTGATATAGTGTATAATCATTGTAACTCTATCGGCCATCGGGTGCAGTCTTATCGATGCACTTCAGTTTTATATAATATGTACCGAGACACTATTATATTTATATTATTGTAGCTTTTGCAACACTATTATATAGGAAGGGCCGTCGTCTAGCACCATAAAAAAAAATTCGAAGGCATAATACTGCAGTGTCTGTATCTGTGTGTTTCATTTTAAGGATAACACGATATATACTTAATTTGAAAGTAGATGACGATACATATATTAAGCCATTGAGGTTCAATCTTTTGCACTTTGTTCTCAGCCGCCACCAATAGCTCATCTTTATATAGCATATCTATATATAGAGTGCCCGCTTTATGGAAGACACGCGTCTGTCCCAACAGTAATATTTTGACCAGGGGCAGAGGCCTGGCTGACCACTTCTGCTCCTGGAATCTGGCTGATCGATAGCGACTTCTGCAACCCCCAGCCGCCGTCTCCTGGTTTTCCTGCACGCCTAGAGAGGTAATTCTGTTTGTTGTATTTGTGTACAGTTCATTTTTGATTTCAGGTTGGCTTTGCCTCCACCGACGACGCCAGCCTCGCATCGTCTGTCTGTCTTCCAGGGTGATTTACCGGGACACCGGGGGTCGATCGATTCCCCGGTGATGAGCTTGTCCGCGACCGCTTATTCGTACCCGAAGGTATGGCTTATTTTGCGGCTACCCTGTATATCTACAGGGTGTTCCCCTATCCACAGCCCGGTGAAGCGATGTTTGTGAAGTTAGCCACCCCAACTTTGTTGGATTTTCAAAGTATAAATTGTATGTCAGAATTTTTAAGTTCGTGGGAACTATGTTATGGTCAAAATTAACTTGGGGGGCTAACTTCACAATTGCCCCCAACCTAGTTAGGTTAACCTGGTGGAAATTGAACAAAGTTGGGGGGGACAGTGTGAAGTTAGCACCCCCCAAGTTAATTTTTACTATAACTTAATTCCAACGAATTTACAAATTATGAAAATCAACTTACATTTACTTACAAATAGAGTACTTTAACTTACAATGTAATTGGTAAAAATTGAACAAAGTTGGGGGGCTAACTTCATAAACATGGGGACACAGGAATGAATCCGTTTATATTTTGTTTTTAGAATCTGCGCGAAGAGATGAATGTATTGATTTTACAACGATATTTTTTTGTGTATCCTGTGTACACTATGAGTAGTTTTGTGTTTTAGTTTAAAAATATTATCCGGTGGTAAGTATTTGAAACTTCCAAAGTATATTATTATTATTGTATACAAATATGATAATATAAAATAATATTAATACAACCTGCCGGCCACCGAATTAATAATAACAATATAAATATATTATAAAATATCCTAGACTAATGAAACATCTCCGCTCAGAATCGTTTTTCGTATACAATGATATTATATCAGTAAATTTAAATTTAACATCGTCATAAGTCATATAGGTAATTATCTTAAACTAATCAACAAATAATAATAATTTACGTATTGACAGAAAGTTTCAAGTCCCAACGTATAATTTTTTTTTGTAAGACATACCTACTAAAATTATACCTACATATCTACTAGAATTTTAGTTATTTGAACTTTCTAGAAAGTTATTTGAAAATTTTGTCTTGAAAAAACTAATGTAAATTTTTTGTGAAAAATTCAAGTCTACAATTTTTAATTTTTTTAAATAAAAAAATATTTAAAAAAACAAACATTTTTGTTGATTATGTGACTGACTATGTGAGAGATGACCGCAAATCGTCTTCTGAAAGCACATTCAATATTATTGAACTATTATTGTTATAAAGTGGCACGAAAATATTCTACTGAATGTTATATAAATTATCTCGATTTCTACTATGTTCACACTTTTAATTTGACTAATAAATGCTACTAACTGGCCTTAATTAATATATTTTTTGGTAAGCGTTGATAAATTATAATTATTTTTAATTATTGTTTCACTAGTCACTACTCTGTGATAAAAAAATACTTATAGTGGTTGGGTGAAATTAAATTCTTAACTCACCTGGGTACGTGTTTGGGTAAAGTTTTCAAACTTAAATAATTTCCTCTTTAAAAGTATAAATATTATTATGCAACTCGATCTCCACTTTGAATCGTTAATCATTATATCATAATTTATTAATAACGTTACAATGTTTAATTATTTTTTTATTAATGGGGTTTGAAGCTAGATGATTTTTACTCCCACTATACCTATGTCTCAATAACAGCAGTATAATATTTAAGGTAGATACATTGTTAATATAAATTATTGTTGTATTGTCTAATACTCTAATAGTATAATGTCTATAATCTATAAGACATTTTTTTTTGTCTTAAGGGTTTCAAAATTACGGTATATACTATCAGAAATGAATAGTACATAATGCAATTGTTATAGGATTTCATTAAATAATGTTTCAAAGTTTCAAACATATTTAGTGTGGATAAGAAGAATTTACGCATTGTGGCTTACATGCAAGTATATTGATTTTTGTACATCTATTTTGCAATCTAAGAGTTAACATTTCTTGAAAGCACGATATTTCAAAAGTTATACTTATCGACAGATCGACTACGTATAAACGAAGACTAGGAAAGTACCTATTTTAAATTCACTGCCAGATTTATAAACACAGAGAGGGAAAAGTAGGTATATAATAATATACAGGGTGTCCCTTGAAACAACCAATTGAGTCCAATGAAATTGTAGGTATAATACTAATTTAGTCCATGTTTTAATACTAACTGAGTCCCGTAAAATTTAAAAAAAAAACATTTTCCTTTCCATTTTTACAGACTTAGGACTGTCTGTACTACGGCCTAAGCAATATGTATTATATTATGTTATCTGACAAAAGTGATGATAGAAATAAAATCTAAAATTCCCGGCCCATAGTATAATTTGTTACTATATTATCTGACGAAAGTCATAAAAATGATATGAATGATATGTATATAATATATATAGCCATATAGGTATATCCGTGTGGAGCGGCTTTTGACGCGCAGCAAGGCTGTGTGGCATAATTTTCGCTGTGTCTGGACTCTGGATGGTTATTTTATATTTTACTCAAAATAATCCTCGGACTCAATTCGTATACAATTAGTTTCCAAACCCCAGACTCAATTAGTTATGTCTCGTTTGTACCCGGGACTCAATTAGTATATTATTTTTTTCCCGTTCAGGTATAGGGCACTCAATTAGTATACAGTGGTGAGGATTTACTCATTGCGATATCTCCTGAAATAATAGAGATATCGTAATTCTGTTTTCTTATAAAGACTCACAGAGGTAAGTACTACAAATAACTAATTTTTTATTTTTTTTTTTACGTTTTGGTAAAAAAGTTAAAAAAATTATTTTTTTAATTAATTATTTAAAAAAATATTGAAGATTGCCATTTTGTAGAGTTCCTTTTTCTGAAAATATTGACTTTTCAACATTTTAATTTCATTAATTTCCTGATTTTTAATAATTTTTTTAATTAATAAGTAAAACGGCAAAAAACCGGTTTTTGTCCGGGCCTCTACGGCTAATAGATAAATCCTCACAGGACACTCTGTATAGTGTATACACTATACAGTATTTGTGTAATCAGTTTGTAAAGTTGGATTATTATTTACTCTACAGCAGTCAGCACTCAGCAGTACACAATACATAGTACCTACTTAATATAGTTTATACCAATAGATATAATATATTATTGGATTCGTATAGACGGTGATTTAAACCGTTTAGTATTGCCGTATTGCTTACTCCGTTAAAAATATAGCATACATCTTAAAATATAAATTATGCAACACCGTTGGTTAAATAACAAAAATTATCTTTAATAATATAACAAATCGTTGACATAAATCAAATAACAATCAATAACAAAAATAAAAACAACTGCGGCGTCTATACATTAGCGGAACGAGTTTTCACAGCAATAGAATGGTATACATATTTTATAATGATCATTAATTATTGGGTATATTATGATTTATCTCGCGACGTCTAGCTATAGGTATATTTTGGTTTATTAATGATGGTATATTAATCGGTCGACGAGAATCATTCCTCTTCGTGGTGTTCATGGTGTCCGTAGTGTTGAGGGTGGTGGGCGTGGTGCACGTGGTGCACGTGAGCGTTGAATCCGTTGTGCTTGTCGGCAGTGTAAGTCACCTTGCGGACTCGACCGTCCGGCTCCACCACGCTGTACTCGCCGTGCACTACGTCACCCTCACGGTGCTCCGACTGGTGTTTGTGGTCGCCCGTGTGCGGATCTTTGACACCGTACTTGTACGTGTAATGGGGTGGCGCCTGCGAGAAAATACAAAGTTCGTATGATATTGTTACCGTTGAAAATAAAAAAAAAAACATTATTATAGATCGTGATGACGACTATTTAAGAGACGCGGTGTTCACGTCTGTTCGCTAAGGCTTGCAAACGTAGGTACAACGTTGCAAATTTTCAGTCAAAAGAATCCATTTTTATATCGTTATTAGTTTTAATAATATTAAAGTATCTCTATTCTATCGTCGTTTTATTTTATATTGCAATTTTAAAGTGAGCGATAACTTTATAAGCATTTTATAATTTTAATATTGTTCATACTTATATTTATATATAAGGCTATTATAAGCTGCATTTAAATAAAAATATAAAAACATTAAAAACCTGATAAGAAAACATGGATAATATATTATATTGTTTCCTTTTAAATTTCATTATAAGTCAATTTACTTTAACATTAAAACTAACTACATAAAATGGATTCTTCTTAACGCAAATTGTTGAACGCCACAATATTCTACGTTTTTCTGTAGTTGGAAATAAGGGAATGCAGAATATCACGCATGGGGACTTCACCGACTTTGTCGTAGCATTTTTTCGTCTTCAATCACTGAATTTTATACAATTAATCAGTCAGTGTGATTAATCACTCGGTCCAGGACAAAGGTATAATATCACGAATATAATATATTATATACTCCCTCATGGTGAAACTTATTTTGTGGAAAAGATATAAATATTTAACAGTAATGCACTTACGTAATGGTCGTGTCCGTCGTGATGGGTGTTTTCGAATTTCGGATGGTAAAATGCGTAAGATGTAGCGTCGTGTTCGGCAAAAGTAATGGCCACTAGAGTGGTCAATACGAGAATAGCGACCTGCGAATTTAAATACATTTAATTTAAAACTGATAAAATATAAATATCAGACATTTATTATAGTGTTTAATAATTAATAATAATATAATTTGGTTTGCCAATTATTGTCAATATCTACAATACCTATTTGTTTTCCTATTATTTATTGTAAACATATAAATTATAGTATTATACATATAAATACATAATATACATATTTATATATAAACTATTTTTAAGTAATTTAAATTTTAAACACGTAAGTACTGTAATTTAACTCGTATAAATGCTTCGTACATTTTAAAATATATAGTTTACTAATGCCCGCATGCATAGTCAATTTAGGTGTCACATATAATACATGTTAAACCATGTCGTATTTGACACATAAATTGATTTTGCATACATACGTAACTATGTTTAAAAAAAAAAATGTTTACCAATATTTAATCGGACAATAAATACAAAAACTGTTGTCTATCCAGATTATGTTTTTAACTATATTATACTATAAATTATTCATAATATAGTTTCTATATAGCCGTGTAGATATCGTGGCAGGTACACTTACTTGTAACATAATATTAATCTTCAACATCTTGTTTTCGCGGTGATACCTTGATAGGTCGACTTAAGAATGATGGACGATTTATAGTGTGTAATAACAGTTGAGAATGCTTGGAACGATCGATGTGAACTGATAAATACTCACCACTGTAGTCGGGTATTTATATGAAAATCGAAACCATTTTAGTGTTGAAATAATACTACCAAGTGTTTAGGTATAGGTATCTAATAATCGTTCGATAAGAGTGTTTAATGTGTTTTACTAACCTCTGCGGTTAGTTTACATTTCCGCTTCGGCAAGTTTGGTCTTACGAAAATGTTCTATGAGTAAACATTGTTATAGTAAATAATCATTCTTAATATTTTCGTCGGTGGCACTAAGGTATGAGAGGTCAGTCGCGGTTACCAACAACACTGTCTCACCACATTATTGGTGATATACTCATTGCTTCTGCTCAGACTTTTGTAATATTCCGTTTTATCTATCAGTATGTAGGACATTCACAACTATATTTGGGACGTAAAGTTTTACGGTCTCAGCTGAAGGTCCACAAGACCAAAACCGCGGTTCAGGCGCGTCCTGCAGTCGTTTGATTTGGTCATTCAATTTGGAATCCCGAGACGGTTTCTGAATCTCTGTAGAAGTTTTGAGTATTTCTATTATATATGCAGTCCTGTCGACAACGTTTCGAATTCTCGACATTTAAATCTGTAAAATTATTGCGATATCTGATAGCATATTATATTATATTCACATCACTACATATATGTTATAACCTAATAATAATATAGAAGCAAGTATTTGCAATATATTTAATAATAATATTATTCTACTTAAATTATATTATGTCATTTCTCAGAGTTTTTTGTATTTTTTTATACCTCTATTCGATGTAAATAATTAGTGTAACTGCAGTGTAAGAATTAAAATACTTATGCCAATTTCAAATTTGCTATTATTTTTAATATTTTTAGATTCTGACTTCTGAGTGGAACAATGAATGTATTGATTTTACAATGATGAGTTTTTTTTTTATTTTTTTTTAAATTCTGAGTGGAACGATGAATGTATTGATCTTACAATGATGTGTGTGTTTTTTTTTTTTTGTGTGTTTGTCATCACCTTTTAGGACAGTAAAAGTGATTAGATTTTCTTCAACAGTATCTTTTCTGATAGGAAAGTGAATCTAGTTGGTAACTTAGGGTGTCAAAAGTAAATTTTTTCAAGTTTTCAAAAGCGCTTTGAAAAACAAAAGAAAAATTAAGGAAAAACGGAAATTTTCACGCAAAATTTGTTTTCGAGTTTTTGGTTTTTGGTGCAATTCATAAACAATTACTGTATAGGTACATGAAATGTTGACTGAATGTTTATATTAGCATTTTCTATACACCATAACATTTTCCAAATATTTTGACTTATTTTGAGCTCTTTAAGGACATTTTCAGTTTCCATTTTTTTCTAAAAATATCAATAAAATTTTATTTGTTGGTTAAAAAAATTCCAAAATTTAATAGAAGGCTCCTAGTATATTGTTTCAAAGGCAGATAAAAATATTAAAAGTCTTTAGTCACAGTTTTTTTTTAAGTATTTAAAGTTCAAAAATTGAAAAATATGGAAAAATCACGAAAATTAGCAAATTATTTTGAGTTAAGAATTCCTAAAAATTTTTCTTTTTAAATCTAAGATTTGAAAATGTAATACAAGATTCCTTATAATATTATCTACCTTTATCAAAAAAAAAAAATGTCTATAAGAAAGTCAAATTAAATTTTTATGAGCGTTTGAAATTCAAATTTTTATCACATTGGATATTCACTCGGTTTCTCATGTAGCGATTGCCTTATTTTGTTGTAATTTAAAAACGAATAACTGTAGATACATGAACATTTCACTGAATGTTTATATTAGAATTTTCTATACACCATACAATTTTGAAAATATTTTCACTCTTTTTGGGCTGTTTATAGACATTTACAGTTTTCAATTTTTTATTTTTTAAATTTATTATGAATATCAATATGAATATCAATATCAATATCAATCTAGTTTTATTAGTTGGGAAAAAAAGTGTAAAAATTTAATACAAGGCATATTGTTACAATATCAGTTGAAAATATTAAAAATATTTAGGAACAATTTTTTTTTATAAGCATTTAAAGATCGAATTTTGACAAAATGTATCAAATTTAAAATCGGATAATTATTTTATAGTTAAAAGTTTATAAAATGTTCGTCTTTTATATCTAAAGATTGAAAATTTAGAACAAGATTTCACGTATGTAGTTAATTGTGTTACCAAAAAATCTAAAAAATACATAATTCACAGTTTATTTTTATAGTCATTTTAATTTAAAATTTGGACGAAATTACATAATAAAAAACCTAGAATAACTATTTAAGTTACTTTTTGTGATTGTATAATATTTTTCGTGTTTACTTGAAACTTATAAAGTACCTATATTACTATATATCTATAATTTCTATATAGTACACGATAAGTAGTCGAATGAATGCTTCGATTTTCATTTTCAGTGTCTTGTTCTATGGGAAAGTGAATATTGTTGGTGCATTGGGGAGGTCAAAATTTAAAATTTTCAAGTATCTACAGTCATTCGTATTTAATTACAACAAAATGAGAAAATCGTTACATGAGAAATCGAGTGAATATCAAATGTTGTAAAAATATGAATTTCAAATGTTCATAAAAATTTAATTTGAGATTTTTGTAGACATTTTTTTTTTGATAAAGGTAGAAAAACTTATAAGGAATCTTGCATTACATTTTCATATCTTAGATTTAAAAAGAAAAATTTTTATGAATTTCTAGCTCGAAATAATTTGCAAATTTTCGTCATTTTCACGTATTTTGTCAATATTTGGAATTTAAATGCTTATAACAAAAAACTGTGACAATAAGGATTTTTAATATTTTTCATCTGTCTCTGAAACAATATATTAGGAGCCAACTATTAAATTTTTAAGCTTTTATACCCAACAAATACAATTTTATTGATACTTATAGAAAAAAAAACTAAAAAAAAATGGGAACTAAAAATGTCCGTAAAAAGCTCAAAATAACTCAAAATTTTATCATGTATAGAAAATGGACATATAACCTAACCTAACCTTTTTTTTATAGTGAAAATCTACGGCCCTACGGTCATTTGTTTTAAAGTTACACCAAAAACCAAAATCAATTTTCTCGAAAACGGATTTTGCGTAAAAATTCCCGTTTTTCCTTAATTTGTCTTTTGTTTTTCACGGCGCTTTTGAAAACTACTGGGAAATGTTTACTTTTGACCCCCCAAAGTACCAACTAGATTCACTTTCCTATCAGAAAAGATACTGTTGAAGAAAATCCAAGCACTTTTACTGTCCTAAAAGGTGATGACAGACACAAAAAATTAAAATTAAAATTAAAAATTAAAAGAAAAACACACATCATTGTAAAATCAATACATTCATCGTTCCACTCAGAATCTAAAAATAATTAATTTTGAATTTTGAAACTATAAGAACTTTTTTTGTATTTGTGATATCGAATAATTAAAACAATGTTGCACAATCAATGTTCTCCTCTTTCTAGTATTAACATTAGGTTGCATGCAAACTTATGCATAACTTGAGCTATAGAGTGAGTGGTTCTTATCTGAGCAAAACCGTTTTTCTATGTTTTACATTTGTAAAACGGAGACCATACAATGCGGGTGTAACATCCTCTTAATAATATTTGTCATTCCGAATTTATTCAATTCAGCGTGGCCCACAGAATAAATAAATATATTAGGAATAACCAAAGAACATAAATAGAACATTTCGTAGCCAACCGTAAGATAATATAATTTTCTATAATGAAATGATATAATATGATTGCTGCATACTGTTTAATGTTTTGACAAAAACTGAAACACTGAAACGTGCATTCACACAATACTGTTTTAATCGTATAATATTTGTAATGAAAAGAAAAATTCCGAACCAATAAACCACGATAGCTTATAAATGATTGGTGAAATACTGAAATAAACTGAGGGTGCTAGTTTGAAGCTTGGGGGTGCTAAGCACCCCCCAAGCACCCCGCTATGTGAGCCTATGATTATGATCAGAGGTGTATCACTGTAATATATGTATTAGAAAATGTATAAAATAAATGTAATTTATTAAGGATGCAAAAAAATTATTTATAATTTTTTTTTTTAAATTATGTATCCTTACATACTCTGATATGAATAGGCCAGGGCACCTTTAAGTTCTCTATATAAAAAGTAAATTTAAGACAGAATTGTAACTGAAGTCACGATAGTCCCTCTTTTGTAATAATATTTCTGTTTTCAATGAATTTCTGTATTTTGTATAATTAGATAGGTACAGAAAATAGAAGCCGAAATCATTTGCACAAAATTGTGACTAACACAATTATACTTTTAACAAAAAAAATGATATAAATACTATTTTTGATCTAACCTAATCAGACGACCGGGCACGTCTATCTAACTATAATATAACTTACTAGTATTGTACATTTCGTAATAAGTTATTTTGAATGAACGATATATTTTTTTTTTTTTGAGCTTGAGCTTGAGCCCAGCAACTTAGATCATTAGCTAGTTTTTATGCTTGTAGGTTTTTTGTAGTGAGTAGTAACGGTTGGTTAAAACACGTTAGTATGTGTGGCAACTATTTGTTGCTAAAAATTCCGGGTGGTCACCCATCCGAGATCTAGTAACAGCGGCCGATACGTACACTTAAAACCTTTCTGCAGTTATGATATCCAGGTATCCAAACTAATCCAAAGAATATGATTATTTGTTACTTGAAACATTAGTTTTGTATTTCTCATATAATATTTGTCTTCGATACTAAGCACCTATTGACGTTGGTACAAATCTTGTACCAAAGTCTCTCGACCTAGTGAGCAGGCGCAAGGGTACGTCTCTTTCAGAACAATTATCAATTAGGTACTCAAGTAAGTCTTTAGATTTACAAATGATTTATATTTTGTAGACTGGGTAATTTTTAAAGAGAGGCTG